GTAGTCGTGTGCCAATGGATGAGGCCAAATCTTGGCAGAATGGCCATGAGCCATGTTGGAATATGTCGACGGTTCCCCGAATGCGATACTCCTATGAGAAACTTCACGTACAACATTTATGTTTGTAGCAGCTTACGTAAGCTCCAGTTTAAAGGTGTTTTTGTGTGTGTGTATCCATTTTCCCCCTTTTCAACTTCCCTATCCTGGAATTTTTGTTCAGTGTGTCGTTGATGGTCTCATGTACGGTCTATTTGCATTAATTTGTTCCTACCGATACAGTCATCACAGTATAGAACTGGATACGCTTCTGCCTTTACTATAACACAATGGAAATTATCCACTGACCTGGGCTGATGTCATGAGCGGTATCAGCACACTGAACAGCAAGGACGCAACGTCGGTTGGCCTTGACCACAAGGCTTTATTTCCCTTTGATGAACATTTCTTTTCCTGATCACAGTTATGGAATTATTCACAGATGAGTCGTTCCGGAATAAATTTGTTAAGAACATAAATGGAATTTTCTCACATTGTGATCACAGAATGCACTCGTATTTATGAGATCTAAATTTTCACGTCAGCGAATATTAAGGTTACGGTCTTCTGGGATGTGGCGACATGCAGTTTTGTAGATAGAAACTAAAGTTTCGTAGGATCCTACTACCTTCTTCCCTCAGGGTTGAAGACTGGAATCTCATATTTCCACCATCATGTATTTAAAATTCGTATGGTCTGAACATGTAGGATAGATATGTTCTTTCTTTTATTAAAACAATAGTGCACACATATAAGTGGTTAATATTTTGCTTTTGAATAGACACTTGAAATGTTCCAGTGCTTAAAAAAGTATTCACAAAAAATGTGCAGTCAGTTATATATTGCCTCTTAATGTACCAAGAAGCGTCCAGAGCTATTAATTTTTCAATTTAGAATTTCATGAATTGGTATTCTTTGTGCCAGATATTGAGTGTTGGTTTTGGTGACTGGAGTTGGGTGTGCCGTTTTGCACTCTTCCATGTGCCAACAGTTTGTGATGCCGAGTGTATCGTAGAGAAGATTGTTTAAATTATTTCCCTTCAATTTCCTCGCATTCTGACTCGTTTTATCTACCTCAGTGAACAAGGAAAAGGGTCGTCAACATCCTATGTGTTTTTATTAATCCATATTTTCCACGATGGGCAATTGCCTGGCCTCACGAGAGATAGAGTTGACTGTGGAAGAATTTTTTCCGGTGTTAAAACATTTTGTTTACTCTATGTAAAAAGTTACCTACGTAAACCAGCGACGAAGGGTCTTCCAATCTGCATGTCACCAAGCATCTGCAAAAAGGTTTTGTACGATTTTAAGAATCTCGCGAAAGACACGTAATGTTTACTGCTTGTAACCTTTGTTAAGGCCGATTCCAGTGGCCGAGCAGTCTAAGTCATGAACCGTCTTCACCCACTCGAACCTTGGGATCGTGGTTTCGAATCCCTCTCGAGGCATGGGTGTCTGTGTGCGTTCATTCTGTGGATAGTTACCGGCCTTGCGACGGGAAGATGCCCCGTTCAAGGAGTCCTAGAGACTGTATATATCAAGAAGCTGAAAAAGCGGCAGAGGTCCACAAGAGCAGTGGAGCCATAGTTAGATAAAACGTTGTTAAACATTAACGTGGAACACAATAAGACAGAAAGAAAGCCTTTACCAGCAGAGTGCGGTCCACTTTTTGCGAAAGTGAATTAAACAATTTTGAAATAGAGCTATATAAAAATATAATAAAGTCTCACTTTGTGCGCAAATTTTGAAATAATGCTAATCCCCCCCCCCCTCTGCCCCGCCTCCACAAAAAGTCGGTAAGAATCATGTATATGTTTCAGTACTTGTCTTGAATTATGTGAGGTCTTCAGGAACGCATCTGTCGCTTAAAATGAGATCGCACTGCATGACATTATAGCCTTATACGTGTGTGTATATATAGATATATATATGTGTGTGTGTGTTTTTTGCATCCTGGATAATCTGAATTAATTATACCATCGGTGCGTAAGAACAATCGAATCATTCGAATTGCTGGATTTCAAATAAAAAAAATATATATTTTTTTTTAGAAAAATTGTTTCTTCCAAAGATTTGTAGCTACATTTTGTATTACAAACAACGACCGGAACCCGCGGACTTTCTAGTGCACGCCTGCCTCGATGCAAGCAGTAAAGCATAGCACTCTTCTGGTTGTAGTGGTAGTAGTTAAATCTTTATGGGAGGAATAACACTTAGATGTGGATAAACTGAGTTCACTCGATCAGTTAAAATGTAAGACAGGGAATGGAGGTTTGAAACACGTGAGACAACTCTACCGCGGCACTTGTCTGTCACTGTAACAGCTGTGGCTGCAGTACGTATTGGCAAGAGCATGGAGTGAATTCTGGATGTTCGGATGTTCCGTGTTAGTTACGCGACAGGAGACGAGAAACAACACTTATAGCCAAGTTTAAGCCCCTGTAGTGTAAGAGGCTTTAACTTGGTTATGGTCAGTCCTATGACCGTTAAAATGACTAGCAGCCGTTTCGGAGTGATAAAAATAAGGCATAATCTGCTGCAGAACCTGCGTTGACAGATGCCTCGTGTATGTTTTCTATACGTTTTATTCATTCTACTAAAGTGACAAAGAGTGTGTGTGATATCCATAAAGTACTAATGTCCTTACTTGAACCTCTCTTATCGTCGAAGATGAGACCCCATTTCCAAACACATAAATGGTCTTGGAAGGAACAAAAATTTTGACATGGGTTCCAACGGGGCCTTAAAACAAGAACGACTGTGCTGGCGAGCACCAGCAGCAATTTACTGGGCCTGGACCTTTATGATGAAAGTTTTAGCTCTTAATCATCTACATGTTGTATCATGTACTATATTAGTTTTTAGCAGAGATTCATTTAAAAGTGGTGAAGTTTGATACGCTGATCAGTGTTATCGTAATAGCCACACGGTACGATGAATAGTTTCTGGGGCTGTCAAACAAGACCAGTATCTTCTGTATAACTCGATAAATATTTGCCATAGCAATCAGTGTTTCAGATAAAAGAATAAATTGCGCATTTTGTGCTCCATACACTTTTCCCCGTAAGTGTTTCAATTTTCGATGTAATCAGACTGTAGCGACCGAATGTACCAGAACTTTTACATGATCACTCCCCACGCACTCATGGAACTGAGCCCTTATTGACAGGCCGCCAATTGTGCAGCTACTGAAGAATTTCCCAGCATTTTATGTAACCCGAAGGTTTATTACCGTGTTCACAAGAGCCCTCCACTGGTCCCTATACTGAGTCAGATAAATCCAATCCATACCATCCCATCCTATCTCTCTAGGATCCATTTTAATATTGTCCAACCGCCTACGCCTTGGTCTTCCCAGTGGTCTCTTTCCCACAAATATCCTGTATGCATTCCTCTTTTCCCCAATTCGTGCTACATGCCTTGCCCACATCATCATTACTTTTGCATGATGGATATATTTTTATCTTGTTCGCGTACTGGTATAAAACATTTTTAAAAACAGCAAAGTTGCTCTAGATCTGTAGCCTAGTATGGCGTATTCAGTATAATGAATGCTTGCTTGAGAGAAGTCGTTCGTTTTTCGATGGACTCCTTTCGTCCTCAGTGAACCCAGACTAGCTCTGCGGCCCATGCCTCTTCCTACCCAATGTTCGAGTTAATGGTGACCCGGGGGAGTGGTTTTCTTGGATCAAAGGTGGTGAAACTGACCGCGTACCTCCAGTTTAAACTTTGAATCAAAATAGGTGAAAGGAAGGGTTTTCATTCGGAAGGAAAGGGAGAAAGACAGAGCGACAGCCATAATCTCGTGATATTGCTTGTTTGCTTGCATTGTAACTTGTTATACATTGTAATGCCAAGGACGTTCTGCAAAGGACCTTATCCGCTAGCGACATCATTTCATTACCCTAATTCTTAAGTACAGTACAGTACCAAAGGCAAAGTTTAATTGAGGCTGATTGATTTAGCTGTCACGGATTGTTCCTGATACTGCACAACTGTTGTTACCGCATAAGATAAGAGACCTTCACGGCGGTGAAGAATCATATTGTGATCTTCTGGATTGTGCTATTTAATCAACTTTTCGGAAGAATACAGGGTAATTCATGAGTACCTCCTGACAGAAATTTCGAATCACTCTGTGAACCAAATAAATTTGTAAAAGGGTGCTGTGATTCTGAATTATTGTCGGGGTTTCCGATGGGAGTTATGAATTCCCATATATACAGATTCTACAGCTGTTCTACTCTGATCATGGACGCATTACGTTCCCCCGAAACGTTGGTAGGGACCACTCGCATATTTTCATAACCCACAAGACAACATTTTGAATTGGCTGGTTTGCTTGGTTTTTAATACTCGTATATTGTCGATTTCCCCCTCGTTGGTGGCTCCACCTAATCGTGGTGAGGGGGTTTGAGTATGCCAAGGACCCTGAGAGCTATACCAGCGGTAGCGTAGCTACTGGCAGGGCCTCCCTTGCTGGACAGGTCAAAGGGTAGGCATCAGACGAAGAGAGACACCAAAAACTGATGCCGGAAGCAGCGTCATCAGCAGCGACTTGAAGCACAGAGTAAATAATGCTCGAGATGGTTCAAGTTCGTATAGCAACAGGCGTGACCAGAGTGGTTTGAACGGCTGTTGTACTGCGATGTGGAAAGCAAATGGAAAAACTACCACATTATCACTTTTCCTGGATAGTCTCTTTCCAAAACCAGAGATACCATGTATGCGAGATGTTTCATTTGAAGGAGAAAGCTCTAGATCGCATCAAGTGGAGGAACTGTTTTGGAAGAGACTGTGGACCTGTCGTCTTGACAGATTACTGATGAATGAATGAATGAATATTGTCGATTTAAGAATTCTTGGCGATTTACCTCCACACGTCCATATGTTTTCTGAATGTGATGCCTAAGCAAGGGGAGAACTTCCTTCTGACTAGCGTTCCGTAATTTTCTCTGTTACAGGGATCCGAGCCGAAAAGATCCAGAGTCTTGCATCGTGAATGAGTCCCTTCTGTGTCCTCACGGTGGTCTTCTTTACGACCCGGCGTCATGTAATGAATCAGGTTCCAGGTAAGAAAAGTGCCACGGATGTTTAGGGGCTGAACTGCCTGCTACATACTATATAAAAGTGTCTAACTATAGTAATACTACAAAAATAAAATTATTTTGCTGGCCTAATAGTAGTTACAGGGGGGCACACGGTATCGTAGTTAGTTGAGGCACTATGCTGCAATTAGGATTGTAATTGATTGCATGTAAAAATCAGTTTCTTCGTTTGCTTTTGTTGGTCTCTTGCTACATAAGACCACAGCATAGACATGGAGAAACATATAGATTCAGTTCGATTTATGATTAAATATAATTTATTATTTGTTATAATTTATTGTGACAGTCTCTGTGGTTTAGTGGTCAAAGTTTCTGGCTACAGATCCAGAGGTCTCGGGTTTGATTCCTGGCTCTACCAGATTTTCTGAGAAGAAGTGGATCTGGAACGGGGTCCGCTCAGCCTCGTGATGATAATTGAGGAGTTATTTCAAGGAAATAGCGGCTCCGGTCTAGAAAACCGAAATTTACGGCCGTGAGAATTCGTTGCGCCGACCACGTGACACTCTCTATCCGCAGAAGTTGACACTAGCTTCGCCGACAAGCGGCGGTCGCTCGGTCGGTATAGTTTGTTTGCAAACTACAGGCCACAGAGTTTGTTTTGTTTGTTATAATTTTCAATAAGTGTTCACCGTATCTAAAATATTTAATATGAAAGTTGTAAATCTTAATGAAATGTGTAGTTTCTATCGGTCTCTCTCTCTTTGTCACACACACACTTTACGATGAGGCAATTTGAACAGACGCTCCAGATTTCAACAATTTGAGCGTTATTGTATATAGCGGAGGATATACTGCAACAATATGAGCAACAATAAAATTCTTCAACTTTTGGTGTGAACCACCATTTCAAAATCCCGGATAGGAAGCAGGAAGGATGGATATACACGACAGACACGACCTCCCAATTATGTCTTCCTTCTTACGAAGAACACAAGGTAAACCAAGAACCGACAGTTTCCAATCTTTCTTCTATAAATTGCGCTGTCTCCGCTTCTATCCGCTGTTTTTATGGTAAGAATGAAACGGATAGGAAAGGAAGTTGTATGTGGTATAATTCAAGTTGTCTGTTGGCCCTAACCACAACAGTAAGTCTGTTATCAAGAATTTCCAATAACGAGTAGTACAAATTACTCAGTGGGACAATCGTAAGGGATATATTGCACTCGTGCGCCCTTCGACAGACAGGACTTTAAGACGGATTGAAACGAACTGGAAGAAACATTGCAAACCAACGGACTTCTTATTGCGTTTGCGATTTACGGTGTAATGTCAAGATTGCCACAGATCAATTATGTGAAAACTGAAGAAGAAGCCATCTGCTGATTTATTGCCGTGAATATAGACATTGGCGTCACGGCTGTTTGCTTTAAATTCGTTTTGTATATGTGGCGGTAACCAAGGATTCAATTTATTCTCAGAGAATAACTTTCATTCATACTGGAGTTAAGGTAGCTCAGTCGGTATAGCGACTGGCTACGGGCTGGACGACTGAGGGGTCGGAGTTGGAGTCCTGGTAGGGTCAAGAATTTTCTGTTCTCCGCGTTGGCCAGACCGGCTCTGGGGCCCACCCAGCCTCCTATGCAATGGGTACCTAGGGCTATTTCCCCGGGGGTAAAGCTGCAGGGCGTGAAGCTGACCACTCACCTCCAAGTAGTGCTGAGGTCAAGAAAATGTTGATCTATACTTCCACTTCCTCATACGCCTTCATGTTGTAGTGCTTAATTAGTTAAGCACAAAGAAAACTTTACCTTTATCTGTTAGGGCTAAGGAAGAAGAACTGAGGAAAACGACATGATGCGATAGTTAAATCCTAATACGGTTAGAGTAACATAAGTGAAAAAAAAAACAACAGATAATTCACTCAGTACACACATAGTGTCTAGGGTACTGGCTGGACGACCTAGGATTCGGAGTTCCGTTTTAGTCGGGATTCTGCACAGCACTGAGATCCACTATGGGGCCCACTCATCTCCTGTTCAGTGGGTACCCCGACCTTTCCCCATGGGTAAAGCGTCCAGTTCATGAAGCTCCATCCAGTGCCAAGGTCGAGAAGGCGTGGACCTATGTCTCCACTCTCACATACGTTTCCATGGCATGAGTATCCTTAAGTCAGGGTTTTTATAAGTTCCTGGAGGCGGAGACTTTAAAATTAGGCCATGACCGATTCCTACCAAAACCTTTCCAATTCGTTTACTCTCATCGAATCATCTGACGCGATGTTTGTGGTCTGAATTACCGACATTGTCGTTAAATTACCTGCAGAGAAACTCACAACTCCGGAACCGCTGAACGGAATTGCATGACATTTAATTTTAGAGAGTTTTACTAAAATTTTCTGTGAGCCGGGATAGCGTAGTCTGCATAGCGATTTGCTACGGGCTGGACGATAGAGGGATAGGAGTTCGAGTCCCGGTACGGTCAAGAATTTTCTCTTCTCCACAGCGTCCAGACCGGCTCTAGGGCACACCCAGCCTCCTATCCAATGGGTACCGGGGGCTCTTTCCCTGGGGGTAAAGCGGCAGGGGCGTGAAGCTGACCACTCACCTCCAACTAGTGCTGAGGTCAAGAAAATGTTGATCTATACTTCCACTCCCCCATACACCTTCATGGCATAATACTTAATTAGTTAAGCACAGGGATAACTTTACGTTTTTTTGCCAAAATGTTCTACATGGTTACAGTTTTGGTTAAAATAGGTAAAAAATAGCGGACATCTTACATAAAAACTTACTCGCCTCTCTTCGCGCTTCTCCAGGTTTAACTCGATAAATATTTACTGGAGCGAAAAACGTTACCAACAAGTTTAGAGAAACGAAACACATTTTGTGCTCAAGATGCTTGCTTTTTGCGCAAGTGTTTCCGTTTTCGAGGTAATGAAACAAGTGTGGGCGAAAGCTCCAGAATTGTTATGCTAGGACTTACATAGTCGAATTTATTCTACGCCGAATGTAGCAGCATCATAACTCAGTTCCAGTAGCTACGTAATGACGAGTGTTATCACGTAAAGGTGATGTTGGCATCAAGGTATGAGAGCTTTGCGCTGTGCTTCACTGATCCCTGCATTTTGAAGGAAGGTGTGAAGGCACTGACGGGTGGAGTACCAAGTGGTACGTAAATTTAAATCGCTGGTGGTGCAGATTCCTAGTATCCACGAGGCTGCTGTGTTTTGCTGCCGGTCCTGCTTCCTTGGACAGGCATTAATCTCCATCATTAACACATCTCTTCTCTCTCCCGTCAATACCATACACACTACCGTCTTATCCACTCTCGTGTCTCATTCCTCCTGTCCCTCTTTTCTCACTATACGCTTCTTCAGTCTGTTCCTTTTGTTTCTTTTCGCGTTTACTTCCTTTGCTAAGGATCCCAAATATTTTGCGGCCTCTTCAGTCTCAATTCATACTCACGAATTCATTCTCTTTTTCCCTGGCACCACAGCCGCAGTGGGCCTAGGCCTACCTCCATGAACTTCTCCGTTCACTTCGGGTTTTCTAGATCTTACACATTCGGTAGGACTCCTTGGGCGGGTGATCAGCTCGTCGCAAGGCCTCTACCTGTACACAAACACAGAAAAACGCACACACACAAACTAAACATCCACGCCCTGAGTATGATTCGAACCCACGATCCCGGCTTCCGAACGAGCGAAGACAGTACATGCCTTAGACCGCTCGGCTACCGTGACCGGCAGTGTAGAAGAACAATATTTAAGAATTCAGTTCGTACCTCACAGGAAACATCCGAATCCACTGTCCCGGCTTCCGAGCGAGCGAAGACAGTGCATGCCTTAGACCGCTCGGCTACCGTGACCGGCCACGAATTCATTGCCACAGTATATTTATAAGCACATGGTGTACGTGATGAGGATTACAGCTTCGTAGGCCATATTAGGATGATAAGATCAAGGTAACTTACGTAAGCTCGTACACAGTACCCACACATTAGGAAGATAAGTGCAAACGAACTCATAGTTGAAAATATGAAGGGAAGATACCACTTTGTAGAACGTTGTATAGGTATGAAGAAGATACTGAAGTATAGACCCAACATCTACATATTGTCACGTGTTTGAGTGACTATAGACGAAGCTTGAATTGATGACTAGATTTATTGACTGCTTATACACACAATTCATGTCTACCCTTGCAGATCACTGTGACACGCAGATTAGTATCCTCAGTCTATTACAGTCTTATCTGGCCGTTGCCTGGTAACGGCTTCCAACGGCGTTCATTTTCCTTACTCTAGGTTCTAGAACTGTTACTGTGTCTCAGATACCACCTTTTAGCAGTAACGGCTCGTAACGACACAACTGCAGTTCTCTAACTCCCGGGTTGGCGGCCATCTCATACCAACCCACCTAGTCTGGCTAACAACTGACAACTGAACTTTCTCAATCACTAAGCAGCTACTTCACGTCACTTCACTCACTAAACTGCTGGCAACTGTAATTCAGAAACTCGACTGTCCCTTTATAACGTTTCGGCACGAACCACGTAGAAACACCATTTCCGTTATTACAGTGCAACATACCACCGCTTTTGCATAGAAACGGGTGTTTGTTTATTCGCCTATTACATTGCAACGGATGTTGTTTACAGAGTCGCCGCATAGCAACGGGTCTATACGCCACAGTATAGTGTGCAAGAGTGTATACTGGATTGAACAGGCTCAGTATAGGGTCCAGTGGCCGGATATTATGAACACTCTAAGCGTCGGATTCCATAAAAGCGCGGAATTTCTTAAAGAGTTTAGTCAAGAACTTCAAAGATTACTCACTTCTGGGATATGATGCTATGCAATTTTGCATACAGGTACCGATGTTTTAAATGGACGTTCAGAGCGAAAGATTCATTCTCTTACACTTAAGATGAAGAAAACAGGTTCCTCCGAAACGTTTGTACGAGGGATATACGGAAAGTAAAGATACAAGTCCAGTAAAAATTCAAGGGATTTTTTTTTCTTCT